AAGACTTTTAGATCATTAGATTCTGCATTCATTATACTATTGATTATAATATGTTCGATTTTACATTCCTGACAATTATTACAAAATGCGAGGAGCTACCGTATTGAGAACCCCTTTCCGGTTATCGACAAATTTATACTTTGGCCCTACCATACCAACAGTTCCGTACGCTCCATCGTAGTCAATGCGCCATCGCCACGAATTTTGCTGTTGAACACTTTACATTGGCCCTGCTCATCTCCCCTATAATCTCTGATGAGAATGCATCCTTCATGCGCCGCCATGACACTTTTTACATGCTCTTCGCCATGACAGTTTCCAATGCATGCTTTTTTTATATAAGGAACATTAGGTGTTTTAGCCATCAAGTAACTTTCATCGTGAGTTCTTAGTTATTGTGCCAAGAAAACATCGTGGTAGTCTGAAAGCATGGTGTGCTTTTTTTTTACAAAAACATTTGTTTTTTGGGAATGACTTTTTTCACCGGACTGCATTCGGTTGTCTTCCAGTAATTAAACAAATCTAATGAATTGTCTTTATAAATGGGAAACATATGTCAAACGTTCTCATACTAAACCGATTCTGCAATGTCGCTCTGAATTAGAAAAAAGTTGATGAACATATATCGCATTTCATTTTTTGAAATTCAAGACAATAAAGAAGTCTTACCGACGCTCACTTCTCCGCCAATCACCTAGTTGTAAACATACAGTTCTTGCCTTCTTATTGGTCCTACTGTCACCAAGTCGACTACTTCTGCCCAATGGCCATTCTTTCTTTCCCCAGTACAACCAATAATTCCCCGAAGTCATAGACCTCCCCCTCTGCGCCCCGCAAACGCCGCACCGTAAATTGCCGACCAGGCGGGTTTAGTACAACCACGGCCATTTGCCTCGCAAGTGGCAAATTTGTGGTTTTAAACAGGCATTTGGGGGGGGGGGGGCTTATGACCAACTCGATCCACAACAAATCTAAAAAAATCTTAAAAAACGTAGAATAATTTTTTTTCAACGTCCCCTGTTTTCTTGACATCTGTGCGGGTTCCAAACCCGTTAATAAGTACAAAATAACGCGACGCAAAAGGATGATACACTCGGGACGTACAAGGCTCGAGGTAGGAAATAAACAATTAATTAATACCTACAATTAAATTGATAAAAAGTTGGAAAATGTTGGAAATCATTACATTTAATTAACAATTATTGTTTGCAAACACAAAACACACGTCACTTTCTATTCCGTTTGGTCCAATGTTGTCATTCTTCGAACAGCTGATTCGCTCCTGTAGTGTATGCTATCCGTGACGCGTATATATCTCTTATTTTCTCTAACTCACTCCACTTTTTATCATTTTAGATTATTTTTGAGCAATTGATAATACTAATTGTTTCATGTTCATTCATTTATGTATTTCTTATCTCATCTTCTGTCCTTTTCACTTCCATTCGTTTTCATTAATAATTCTTAACGTGTTTTTCTCTTTAAATCTTTTATTCGTGACCTGGGCCACTTCCATTTTGCCCACCATCGACCGATCAAGTCAGGTCCATCCTTTGTTCTCGCGTGTCCTCGACTACTTCGTTTAGTTCTACTACTTGAGTTTTGTTGCCTCTCTTCTGTTTACGCTCTGTGAGTGTTTTATTTTTTTAGGTATTCTTTATTTGTCATTTTTTAATTTTTTTAGCTTGGGGGCGATGAATAAACTGGTGGGCTATTTTTAGGGATTCTGAGTGATGTGGGAGTCATATGATTGACGAGGTTTCTCCGGATTGAGGGTTTTTTATGTGTCTAGTGAGAAGAGTGAGAGCGTTCATTCACCGTCCGTGACCGCTCAATACCTCCTCATCTCATCGACATTTCTTTTTTTTGTGGAGAGGTTTTACAACACCCTTCAAGGAGAACTTTTACATTGTTGAAGAAATAGTCCTAGATTTTATTCTCGTTGTAATAATGAGGGTTGGTAACTGAATCACATCCGGGTTCTGTTGACTTATTTATTTATTTATTTTTAGGAATTAACCGTTCATGATTTGGCTATAAATAATTACCCAATCGGAAAAATCCTATGCAATTAATTTTTAGGACAAGAATTATGTATTTTCAATATTCTGAATTGCAAGCATACAATTCTGTTAACCCGTCAGTCGGCGCGCTCTTTTTAGTATCTGACTCGCACTGCAGAGACGTCCTATAGGTTGACTAGCGTTGCGTGAGAGAAAATCTCACATGCGCCTAACGACGGGTCAAAATTCATTTTTTGTAGCAGTGAAAATTTTCTATTAGAGAAAAAAGCATTGATCGAAGAATGAAATAAAACCATTCATCATAATTAACTACGTCATTACAAACTTCATTATATGTTTATATTTGAACAAGAATCTGGATGTCCTGTCAAGGACATCCATGATGGTGCATGTCAAGGAACCTGTGATTCAAATGGGCCTGAATTATCTCAAATGATTATTTCTCTGGAATTATTAGTCGATTTAATTCGATAGAAAAAGATGGGCAAGTATTTCGTCAGTCAGTTCGAGAGATACAAATCAATGTTTGTAGCATAATGTTCTTGCTCAGTAGGAAATGGCCGTCACATCATCTGTCTCCGTAATTTCGATTGATTTAGCTAGAATTCACCTCGAATTGGAATTAGTTCAAATATCTCGCGCTGCTATCATCTAACTTAACATCAACAAAATAAACATCAGCATTAAATACTGTATCGAATTAATTCTCTATCGAAATGTAGAGTTTCTGTTAACTTCTCATGTGTTAACAAACGAGAAAGAGTTGGCGATAAGTTTACTCACTCGTATCAGACTGCGTCGCAATGCGTTTGATAACAAAGGTGGATAAACACGTGGCTGTTTTCCGATGCGGTATTCTTTCGTCAATTGCGATGGATATGAATAAAGTATCACACATTTTCGTCCATCTGTTAATTCCTTAGAAAAAAGTAAGTCGAGTGGGAGTGGGTGGAGGGGTCCAGGTGGGTCAAGGGATGGAGGAATCAACAACTGGTGGTCAATGGTGGAGGCAACAGTATCCTCCCTATCATCACTATCATCATCATCATCATCATCATCAAGGCAGTTACTATCCGTCCCAATCTCTAGCACACATTCCTGTCAGTAGCATGAAGCAATCCTATATGCAGGTAATTTCACTCATTTTAACATTAAATAATCATTCATTGTCATCAATTCCCATCACTATCAAAGGGGTATTAAATTTCAATTGTTTATTTATTAACAATGGGATCTGTTGGGGCGACGGGTTTCCATTTGCTGTCAAAAATGTTTCTAATTGCAGTTGACGTGGGTATTTCATGACGATGAGGCACAAATCAACAAAAAACTGCCAAAAGAATTGTTGCTCAGGTAAACAATAAGAAATTTTTAGTGATGTATTATTACGTAGTTGCTTTGTCGTTCGAATGCATTAATCTATCATTTATTACCACATCCTGCTGAGAATGAAGTTATATTGATATATTTTCATCACGCTGTGCGAAAAAGTAACTTTTTAGGCACGCTTCGCGTGCCTAAAACGTCCCTTTTCCACACATTGTGATAAAAAATATCGTTCGATACTCATGGGAAAAGTGTTTTTTGGCTCGTGGGATTATATCCCTCGCCTTCGGCTCGTGCTATAAACCCCCCACGAGCCAAAAAACTTTTCCGCACTCGTAACGAAATATACTATTTTGACACTGGTGCTACGTTCACCTCGTGCCGAAAAGGGCCTTTTCGTTTACTCGTAAACTAAAAGTAAACGAACAGTTTTTTCATTTACTTGTAAACGAAAAAGGCACAGTTCGGCCACTCACTGAACATAACATCACTGTTAAAAAATATTGCTCGACACATGTGAGACGAAAATTTTCAGCTCGTGTGATTGACAATTTACAGGAGCTAAAAATTCTACCTCATATCGAAATGGTAGGCGGAAAAAATAGACCAGGAAAAAATAGCCCACATATCCGAAACATGTTAAAAGCCATCCAACTTAAAAATTGCTTTTGGTCTACTTTTCCGGGATTCAGGTAGGGTGAACTGCCCATTTACGGAACATTTAAGCCCTTTCAGAAGTTTATACAGTTATGAAATATTGAAATTTTCTCTTGAAAAATTTAAGAAAAATACTGCCTAATTCCAAATTTAGTCTATTTTCTGAGAAAAAATGAAGGAACCTATCACTTGATGGGAAATAATTGGAAATAATTAATAAGTACACGCACATCGAATATACCAAGGACGGAACACTTTTGCCAAGAGTGGAACATCGTCTGCCCATTTACGGAACATTGGAGGTTAGTGTGACGTTGAGAGATTAATTCCTGGGGGCCTATTCTCGAAATATTTCCGTGCACGGAAGTGGCTTCGTAGACGAATTGCGTATAGGAATCATATAGTCGTTCCGTCAACGGAGTCGATTCCACGCACGGAAATATTTCGAGAATAGGCCCCCTGATGCGAAGTCATATCGAGGAGGATATTAATCAGAAAATATACAATTTTGTTCAATTCCTCCCGAAATTTATATCTTTTCGGTGGATTTCCCCAACTGTCAATACAGACTGACGACCATGAGAGTATCCAGATACTTAGTCGTTGACTCGTGAATGCAATGTAGTTTTGGGGATACCATAATTAATTGATGCATTATTTAGAGAGCTGTTCCCCGATTTCACAGCCTCAATCGCTTCTTCTAGATTTTTTTTGTGTATTTAAACCGTTGAGAGGGTTTCCTAACCTCTTCTGCCTTGGCTGATTGTTCTCCCTCCTCTTCGTGTATTTTTCGTGTGTTTTTACCTTTTGAAGCCATTTACGCGAAAAAATGAAGAAAATAAACTAATTTTGGGATACGATTCCGATTAACTTCATTAAATTATTAGTTCAATAACCGCCAATACACTTTCCACAGTATCACCGTATTCCCACTTGACATAGGTATCCACCCGTATGAGTGTTCCGTTCGTTTGGAATTGCGTGGAAAACTAACCCTAAAGACGGAACCCCCATATATTCAATACAATAGCATTTTTCTGATGAAATTGATATGGAAATATTGAAGAATGAAGGATTTTATATCAATATCAATCACAACTTACCGCATTTTGTGATTTAAAATCTAATAAACATCGCTTCAAAAAAAACCCGTCAAATGGCACGCATAACTATCAATCGCCGCAAACTGGCTGCTGCTAGGATTTTTCTCCAATATTCAGCAGGAGGTAATCGATAGCCGATCAGATTTGTGATGACGTCATGAGGAGGGATATAAACTTAATTTAGAAAAAAAAATCAAATCGATAGCTTGGCCGAAATTTGAGAAATCTCGTAAAATCTGAGAAATGTTCCGTTCTTGGGTAGTGTTCCGCATATGGGCAGTTCACCCTAACGGTAAAATTCCAAAGAAAGTAAAATCAGTTCCCACAGCGATTTTAATAATTTATTGATAATTATTTTCCATCATGACTTTTTATATTATCAAAATTATTGAAATTTTCTTGATAATTATTGTAGGATTTTGTCGTATTTGGACGTTGTATCACTATGCCGTTGTGCCCAGGTGAGCAAAGCGTGGAATGTATTGGCTCTCGATGGATCGAATTGGCAGAGGATCGATTTATTCGATTTTCAAAGAGACGTAGAGGTAAATTCCACAGAAAAATGTGATTCATATAATATTCACCGAAAAAATAATGAAACCCTAAAAAATCTCTAAACACGTTTGCATACCATCCTTATCCTTTCCTACAATTATAGAATTAGACAAAAATATTGAACAATAGTTTTCCAATCCCTGCTAATAATTGGACAAATTTGGGTAATAATAAAACACATATGAAAGTATTTTTTAAAAACTTTAATGAAAAGTTGACTTTTCAGACAAGTATCACAAAAAAACAGCCTCCACGTGTCCGAAACCGTACTTCACACGCATTCTCATGAAAAATAACGTCCGGCAGTGGTGAATAAATTTGACTCGTATGAGGGAAGCGCCTCCCACACGTCAAAAACCACTTCTGGCATTAGGCTCGAAAACCGCGATTCTAACATCGCTTCGCATAGTTAGATCGCGGTTTTCGGGTCCTCGCCTTTGGCTCGGATTATAAAGTCATATTCGTCAAATAATACTTTTTCGTGTCACGGGACTTGAAAATTAATATACACACCTCGCCATGGAAAAAATATCCTTCCCCACGTGCTTGCCATCCTCGCCTGCAGCTCGGAAGGCAATCTTGCACGTGGGGGACGGTGATCTGTTTTCCAAGGCTCGGGCATGTAATGTACTATGATCGCCTCATGACATAATGTACTATTTCTGCACTGCCTCTCACGATTCCTCGTCTGAGAATCGGTCAAAGAGCATAGACTAAGTAAGAGGCTCAGATCTCGAGGTTTGGGCGACCCCAGGGTAGAGCTAGTACCAGAGATTATAGGGGAGATGAGCAGGGCCAATGTAAAGTGTTCAACAGCAAAATTCGTAGCGGTGGCGCATGGACTACGATGAAGCGTACGGAACTGTTGGTATGGTAGGGCCCGAGCATAAATTTGTCGATAACCAGAAAGGGGTTCTCAATACGGTAATTCCTCGCATTTTGTAAAAATTATCAGGAATGTAAAATCGAACATATTATAATCAATAGTATAATGATGCAGACTCTAATGATCTAAAAGTCGTTTCCTTTTTCTCGACATATTTATTATTGACACGTAGGTCCAAAAATTCATAGAAAATCCCAGCGCTGTCGCTGGAAAACTCTATAGTTTTCCAGTGATTCTATTGAATAATTGTGCAGATTTTGTTTTTTCTTACTATAGTAATGTTCGATTACATATATTTATTCCCCCCCTGAGTGAGAAAGGAATATGTATCGCGCTCGCTCCCACTCATTGTCGTCTCCGTCGCGTTGGCACGTGCCCGTCCTCCGCCAAACTTAACGAGTGCGAGTGAGAAAGAAAATGGAGAAGGAGGAGAGAGAACACATTCCAACTCGTTTCAACGGTTGGAACGTTTTCGTTGTTCTCCAGCGATCTACACATAATGGGATTAATTCAATAATAATAGATTAATGAATAAGATTTTTCGCAGATTATTGCGAGATTTAGATGAATGGTTTGCCTCCTTCAGTGACCATAAAAAATTGTCTCCAATCGACAATATCTCCCGATGGAATGGAACGATGTGAATGAATCAAGTATCAATTTGAATCTTTAAAAAATTAATCGAGTGAAAAAAAATCCGGGAATTCCACTCTGAGATTTCTCTATTGTCTGTATTTACCGAAAAAAAAAAACGTTGGTCCTAGGAATCGATATGCCTTTTTTAGGCAGCTGCAATTCTGAAATGCAATGACCCTGGCGAATAAGGATCCATGTTGTAGCATGGATGTGCATGGATGTCATTTTAAGGCGAAAAATGGGCCAAAAATGATTGGAATATAATCAAAAAATTATTTAAATGCTGATAGACAAACAATTGGTCCCAATTAATACCCATTAATAGGTTATTTTGTATAATTAGGAGAAATTATTGATGGTGTGCTGTGTGGTAAAGAAGTTCAGATGGGAGAATGCCCCGAGATGGCGCCAGTGTTAAATTATCGAGTCGGCGGTAAACTGTCAGCAGTCGCAGGCATATTTTTTATTCTATTTCACTTATGAATATTAGATAGGTTTGGGGGG